AGTGAGTTTCTCTGTTGAGTCAGTATCTCTATATCTTTTTTCTCCCTTACTAGCTCGTCTACTAAGACTTCAATCTCCATGAGTAGAAGTTTCTCTTTCTCCGCACCTTCTTCAACTTTCTTCGTAAGATCGGAGATTGTCTTCTCATTCTTTTCCATCTCCTATTTTAGATAGAAGGAACTCTTACTCAGCTCAATCACTTCCTTCTCTAACCGTTGAACTTTTGTTTCCAGCTCTTTCTTTTCTTTGCTTTACTGGCCTCTTTTTCATCTCTGGTTTTAGACAGAAAGAACTCTTACTCAGCTCAATCACTTCCTTCTCTAACCGTTGAACTTTTGTTTCCAGCTCTTTCTTTTCTTTGCTTTACCGGCCATTTGAGCTCTCTCTCTCTTTGAGTTTGGTTGTTCTTCGGTTGTTCATCCTTCTTTGACTTTCTCGTCTCTGATACCGCGATTTCGCCAAATCCACTGCGTATCACCTCATTTCCAACAACTTCCATTACCTCACGACTACCGCCATCATCTTTTGTGCCGCCGTCTCCTTTTGTGTTCGACTCTTCGTTTTGAGCCATCAAGAGGATGCCTTCACTTGTTGAGTCATCCAAGGCTAGTTGATGGTTTCTTCCACCTTCTCTTTGGCTCAACAATTGTGGCATAGTGGCCATATTTCTGACATTTGAAGCACTGGATGTTGGAAGTGTATCCTTGACCGCCCTTGAATATGTCCTCTTCCACGCCAATTTGCTTGGCTCGATAGTCTCTTCTCCTAGTAGTTTTCTTCGTGATTATTACCTCGACCAGCTCTATCATTCCCGCGGCTTCCACTATCTCTACCTCGAAAATTTTGTGGGTTGAGTATTTTTCCATCCTTTATTGTTGTTTTCGTCTGAAGCGCTTGATCTAGTGGTTCCTCCTTTTTCTTACGTTGCTCGTGTGTCTCGAGAGAATTGGCAAGCTCATCGACTGTGAACTTCGCTAGGTCCTTCGTTTCTTCTATGGCACACACGACATTCTCGATGTTGTCTGTTAACGACCTCAAAATTTTCTCCACAACTCGCGTCTCGGGTAATATTTCTCCATTCCGATATAACTGATTCGCCATGGTCTGTACACGTGTAATGTAGTCAGATACATTTTCTGACTCCTTCATCTTCATGCTCTCCAACTCGCCATACAAAGTCTGGAGACGCACCTGCTTGACTCGGTCGATTCCTTTGAACACCTTTTCTAGAGTGTCCCACGCTTCTTTTGAAGTAGTTGCCTTTGCAATCTTCTCAAAGCCCGACTCGTCAACAGCCCGAAACAGCATGTATAATGCTGCCTTATCCTTTGATCATAATTCCTTTAGCGCCTTTTTTTGCGCCACCGTGTAACCCGTGGTATCAATCGATTCTTTGAAACCGTCTTCGACCACCTCCCATGCGTCTTGCGAACCAAGAAGAGCCTTCCTTTGGATGCTCCAATTCTCGTAATTCGTCTTTGTCAATCGTGGTAGCGGTATTTGTCCCATCATGTTCGCCATCGTCTCTGATACCAATTTGTTGAAATTGAAATCGCTCTGATACTAATTTGTTGAAAAATAAAGCCGCTCTGATACCAACCTCGAAACAAAACGCTCGCTCTGAATCTAGCTTGTTTAAATAACTCTCACGAAACCTTAAAAGGGGTGTCGAAAGGGGAGGAGAGACAAGGAGACAAAGAAGTTCTTAGATGGTTATTACACAAAACTCAGACAATAAATTACTTTCTGTTTTTCTTCTCTCTCTTGTTCTTTTACTCTCTACACACCTTACAAACGATACATAAGGCCCCTTTTATAGTTTTTCTAAGGCTAAGTTTATCCGTAACTTTCCTCACTTTTCTCTCTCCCATAAGCCCTCTTCCTTCTCAAATTTCGTGCCCTCACTTTAATCTCTCCCCTCTCAAATTTCGTAATGGTCTTTTTGACCAAATAACAAACAAAAATCATAATTACTTTTTTTTTCTTCTCTCTCCTGCATTTAAGTTCATTTCTCAACACAAGATCACTAGGTGATTTTCTCCGCAACTCAACCTCAACTCCCACTTGCTTCGTTGTCTTGGAACCTTGCTTCACATCTGGTTCCTCAGCAGTAGTCTCAGGAGTTTCATGCGTATTTGCTACAACATCACTAGGTGAGTTTCCTTGCAACTCAAGCTCAACTGCCACTTGCTTTGTGGTCTTGGAACCTTGCTCCACATTTGATTCCTCAGCAGTAGTCTCGAAGTTTCATGAGTATCTGCTACAACATCACTAGGTGAGTTTCCTTGCAACTCAAGCTCAACTCCGACTTGCTTCGTGGTTTTGAAACCTTGCTCCACATCTGGTTACTCAACAGTAGTCTCAGGAGTTTCATGAGTATCTGCTACAACATCACTAAGCGAGTTTCCCTGCAACTCAAGCTCAACTCCCACTTGCTTCGTGGTCTTAGAACCTTGCTCCACATCTGGTTTCTCAGCAGTAGTCTTAGGAGTTTCATGAGTATCTGCTACAACATCATTAGGTGAGTTTCCCTGCAACTCAAGCTCAACTCCCACTTGCTTTGTGATCTTGGAACCATGCTCCACATCTGGTTCCATTTTCAACCGCACTTTCTTCAATTCTCGGGCAGTCCTTGTGAAGCTAACTAGTTTCTACTTGCTCATAACGCAGTTCACACAAGGACCCACATCAACAAATTTCAGACCTTCTAAAACTCCTTTCGCAGCCAGCATCTTCATTCCTTTCACGCTCATATGTCCAAGTCTATTGTGCCATAGACTTGAATTTGAAGCACTCTCAGCAACAGCAGCTTTGTTCATACACCCTACAGTGGTGTATAAGATTCCAGATTTTGAGCCACGTGGTACCACCGTAGCACCCTTCATAATCTTCCATGAACTCTTCCGTAATTTGTTGCATAACCTATGCTGTCCAACTAACCAATAGAGATCAGGTTCTTCTTGAGACCAAGAATATATCTGACATCCTTTAATGTCCACTGATTTCCTGCCGGAGTTTTTATGCAGACATCCCATTTTCCTTTAATCTCCAAATCTTTGTTGTCGGCAAGATACACCTTCTCGAAATTTCTAGACTTGAAATTCCGGAACAACTCTTTATTTGGAGACAAATGAAAAGATGCACCTGAATTCAAAATCCAAGATTCAATCGAATTGTCCACGTTGAGGATTAGAGCATCCCGAATGTCTTCTGCTGAATTTATAGAATCATCATCATCTCCAAATTTATGATTCTTCGTCCTCTTTGGTCTTGTACAATCCGTCTGAAAGTGACCTTTTACTCCACAACTCCAACACTTTACATTTGGTTTGTTTGGAGATTTTCCTCGGTTCCTTGATTTTGATCGCCCATTGTTTGGGCCCTTTGATTTACTTCTTCCCCTTCGATCAACACTGAGAGCATTGCCTGATGAATCTCCGAATTCCTGTTTGCGAATACTTTCGCTAAGAACTACATCTCAAATTTCATCGAACTTCAGTTTACTAGATCCTCATGAACTGCTGATTGTGGCAACAACAGTATCCCACGATTCGGGTAAAGATGACATCAAAATGAATGCTTTAATTTCCACCTCGAAATTAATTTCTACCGAACTCAGTTGACTTACGATCATATTGAATTCATTTATTCCACTGAACTCAGTTGACTTACGATCATATTGAATTCATTTATTCCACCGAACTCAGTTGACTTACGATCATATTGAATTCATTTATATGATCAACAATAAATCCACCTTTAAACATCTGTAGATTGAACAATCTCTGCATCAAATACACCTTGTTCATAGCCGACAGTTTTTCGTACATATTCGACAGCGTCTTCAACAGATTTGACATTGTCTTCTCCTTGATGATGTTGAACGCCACGTTTCTGGATAGCATTAACCAGATCAACCCTAAGGCTTGTCGATCCTTGAGCTTCCCCTGCTCCGTGGTCATGGTATCCGGCATCACCCCTAATAGGGGTTCATGCAGACCTTTCTGATACAAATAATCTTCAATCTGTATTTTCTAGAAATCGAAATCGGATCCATCGAACTTCTCAATTCCAATCTTTGAACTTTCCATCTTCACAGATCGTGGTGACTTCCGCCTAGCTCTGATACCAGTTGTTAGGATCGCACAACAACGCACACACTCGATCTGGATGAACACAAATAACATGATAGAGAAAATGCAAGGAGAATATTGATTAAAGATTTTGTATTGATGACTACAGATGTGTACAGTAAGAGAGAATACAAAGAATATAGAAAGTACATTTTCAAAGCTTTGCCCGAGTAGATATATATATGGTTTAGCTTACTATATATAACTTTACCAGATATAACTATCTACTATATATAACTATCTACCATATATAACTTTACCAGATATAGCTTTTTACTATACGTAGCTATTTACTATTTATGACATTTTACTTTATATGTCATTTACCAAATATAGATGTATAATCGTTGACTAAGCTATAAATAAGCAGCACGCTCCATAACCTAACACACTCGATAAGAGGTGGAAAACTCCAGCACGGTGGTCATAGTTACGCTATATATTCTTGGGCATTATGCATGAGTCTTGTTTGATTCTAGGTCCACCCACTCCTTTATCTCTACTAACTTTTGTAAAACATGCAAGAGTAGAAGTAGAACTGCTAGTGTATGAGTTGACCGTGGATACGGCCCCGACAGGAACAATGGAGTTGAAACAAGCAATGTATGCCTAAAGTGCTTGCAAGAAAAAGCAATGTATACAAGAACAAGCAATGTATACAAGAAACAATGGAGTTGAAGCACTCATATTTTATGTGTATGTTGATGACCTGATCGTCACTAGTACAAGTGTGGAAGGCGTCAAAGAGTTCAAGCAGCAAATGATGAAAGAATTTGAGATGACTGATCTCGATATACTCACGTGCTACCTCGATATTGAAGTATAACAAAGGAATCAACCTATGCTAAGTTGTTGTAGCAATTTAAGATGGTAGAGTGCAACCTGACCAAGTATTCTGTGGTAGTAAAGTTACAACTCTGGAGAGATGCTCAAGGAAGCTTTGTGAATTCCACTAAGTATGCTCGCGTCATCGGAGGTCTGAGGTATTTGACTCATACTCGTCCAAACCTTACATATGTTGTTGGAATGGTGAGTAAGTACATGGAAAAGCCTACTACGATGCATCATCAAGCGATTAAACACATTTGTTTTCTTTATTTAGGTTATTCACGTTTTCCTTAATATTAGTTAGTTGAATCTTGTTTTTAGGTAATCTGAATTGATGCATACACTTAGAGTGGGAGAGCATATTTTTAGCTGGCCATCTAAGAATCTTTAGGCGCAAGATTTGTTGGCCACTTCGGCCATTTTTAGAATTTATTTTGTTTTAAATAGTCGAATCAAATGAGAAACATTTGTACCGTGTATTTCAGCAAAGTCAAATCCCAAGCTTTCGTTCTCTTCCTATTTCTTTTATTTTCTTGCGCTTTATGTTTTTTTCTTCCAACACTATTTCTCCTCCCACGATGATTTGCTCAGTCAAGAGACATCAACATTCTCCGCTATGTGAATCGAACAACATACTTCGGGCTGAAGTATCAAAGAGGGCGAGGTGTTGAAGAACTAGTCGATTTTACCGATAGTGATTTAGCTGGAGATATTGACGATAGAAAAAGCATCAAAGGAATGACGTTTTATCTCAACGAAAATTTGATCTCTTGGCAATCTCAGAAGCAGCGAACTATGGCACTATCTTTCTGTGAGACCGAGTTCATGGCAGCAACTGCGGCATCGTGTCAGGCATTGTGGCTAAGAAATTTGTTGAGTGAAGTGATTAGAACTGAACTAAAGCCGATGACTCTTGATGTCGAAAACAAATTTACAATTGCATTGATGAAGAATCTGGTATTTTACGGATGTAGAAAACGCGTTGACACTCGCTTCCACTTCATTCGTGAGAGTGTCGAGAAGAGACAAATTGTTGTAGAGTTCATATGCACTAGAGAGTAACGTGCAAATATTCTAACCAAGACCCTAGCAAGGGTTAAGTTTGTAGAGATGAGTGAGGTACTAGGAGTGAAGAATCTCAAACAAAGTTAAGTATACGAGTGAGATTGTGAGCTAATAAACTTGACTTATTAGAATAAGTTACTAACTTATGGAGTAAATTTAGGGAAATTGTTAGTAGATGTAATAAATAAGTTACTAACTTATGGAGTAACCATGGGAGAATTGTTAGTAGTTGCCAAATTGTGGACCAAGTTTACCGCTTTAATTAGAAGATTGTTTTTGGTTTTTAACTTGAGGAGAAAGTTTAGGAAACTAGTGAGTACTTTCTCCACTAAAAATACTCATTAAATGTATGCTCTTTTCACAATAACAAAAAGAATGGAAAAGCATAAGTGCTTAAGGTTCCTCTATTAAGAAGCTCTCTCCCCCCACTTTGTTCTTCCTTTGTTTGTTTCGACATATTTCGATCGTGGGCTACATCCAACATCATCATCATCATCATCATCATCTAGTTTCCCATTGAAAGATCCATACATCGTGATGTCATCCAATTTCTCGAGATAGCTCGTCCATCTTGGCTTGCTCGGACATATCAATCGAAACTGACCCACGTGTCATTCATCTCATCTGGACATCCCAGACATCTATCTATCTTGGTTCTATTGAAGCATTGGACCCTCCGTGTCCATATTAAATCATTTATAAAATATGTTCCAGATAGCGTGATATAAACCAAGTGACATCAATCATACTAAATCATACAATATACTTCAATGAAGATGTGAAGAAAATGCTGTTGAAATTATCAAAAGATATTTCAATTTATGCCACATTGAAGAAGAATGAAGTTTCATTATTATAAATTTTGGGTGAATTAAAATTTAAAGTAATTTAGAGTCTTTGCCGATATACAAGTGTACACCAAGATAGAGTTAGTTCATAGGAGACACCGTTGGGAGATGTAATGGTGTTATGAGCTTACAAGTTATTTGCTTTCAAGAACCGTTATGAGTATTAAGAGATTTTCATTATGTCCTATGACCTGATCAATACCCTGTAGAGTTTAAGGACTAGACTAACCGAGTGTTCGTAAGACTTTCTTGATATTATCATTATTATAGTCTTTGACGATATACCAGTGTACACCAAGATAGAGTTAGTTCATAGGAGACACCGATGGGAGATATAATGGTGTTACACCAAATTCTCGTATGGATGAGTTATGATTGTTGGTAGTGGATTTCCCTAGCCACGTCGTATCGAGTTAGAGGATTAGAGGTGCAACAGAAGCGTGATTGGAGGCTATAGAACTAGCCGTGCAATATTTGAGTTGCCCTATATGGTATCAAGTACACTATGTCATGTACTTGCTGAGAGACATGACACATTTTAGTACGAGAGCGCCCTAAAGGTGCTCAATATTGAGGAAGCGCTAGTGACATAGTCCTAGTTCAAAGATGCATACCTAATGAAATCCTACCTAGTGGTAGTCGAACTCAAGAATTAGGTAATCTTCCTTGAATCAAAATAGGTGAGAAGACGATTGAAGAGTACGACCTAGTGTCTAGCAGATTGGCCAGGTTTGTGCCAGAGTTGGTCAGAACAACGTTTATAAAGATGTACCACTTCATCATTCGTTTCAAGGACAAGATCTAGGGCTTGAAATAGCTCAAGCTTCCTCAATTTATGTGGAAGCACTATACGATGCTAGAAAGATAGATATGCGCAGTTGGATTAGAGCCTATGGAGTTTATGTGATTGTGAGCACGCTGTGATAGATAGTAATGCCCTAGTAGTGACCTTTTAACCCCGAAAGGTAAAACATCTCGTGCAAGGAGCAGGGCAGCTCTAGGAGCACTCCAAGAGTTAGAAACATTTTCATGGATAGGGAACCCGAGGAAGTATTTCCAAGAGGACTGTGTAGTTTGGTACAACTTCACCATACGCAAGTGGGTGTGCAGAGTGTAGAAGTCCATAGTCATGGTTCGGTGGAGTTACCGCCGAGACAGCATAGCAACTTGGATAAAGAAATTAGACAAGAGGATGTCCTACCATAAGAATCAGGCATAAGTAACTTCCAGAGGACAAATATTTTTAAAAAGAGGAGAATTTGTAGTACTCAAGTTCCGACAAGGTATAAAATGTTTGATTTTTATTTAAGCTCAAACTTCAAGAATTTTATTGAGAGTCTCATAAGCCAAATTTGAAGATGATAAAGAAGAAAAAATCGTTTAAAAAAATCCAAGTAACTCAAGAAAAATATAAAATAAAATAGAGAAAAGATAAAGAAAAACGGTCAAAGTCAAAATGAGGTAAAAAAATTAGGGGTTTGGATGAGGCGTTAATCATAATGCAAATGAGGAAGGAAAAAAGAAAGAGGGAAGAAAAAGAAAAAGAGGGAAAAAAGGTGGGTGACTCTCGGGTTTTAAGAGACCAAGTGGAAATCAACTCCCAAGTGGTCGTTTGGAGTCAGAATTTCACTCGACTTTCTTCCCAATAAATGCTCATTAGCTTTGAGAGAATCATTCGAGCTTTTGATTTGTTTAAATCTATCAATAATCGAGAAAGAATAGAAGGAAAGCGTTTCAGATTCTTGATTTCGATTTTCCTTTAAATTTGAGAGCTTTTCTTAAAATTAAGTTATGGATTTTTAGTATGTTGATATTGGAGGGATTTTGCACAAGATTCATGAAGGAAGATGGAGTTGATTCAAATCGAAAGTCGACATTCTGACGATCGTCAAGAAACGCAAGATCGGTAAGTTTTTAGTTTCCGACAATCTTTGGACGTGTTTATTTTAGTTTGTAGTTTCATAAATTACGAGAAAAATACTTATGTATAGATATTAAAACTCTAAAATCTGAGCAAAGAAACCGAGCTGAATGAAAAGTTATAAAAATGTGAAGAAAATAGGGTGAACAAGGAAATTCATTAGTTTTTGGAAAATTGTGTTCGAAGCAAATATTCGAGGGACATGCATCACAAAGAGAGGGTCATGCATTTGGACGAGGAATTGACGCGTGTTGCAAGAAGAGTGGGCCACTCGTCAGGGGTTATGCTTTTCAGTCAATCTGACCAGTGACCTGAACCAGTTCTGTGCGACCCGCAAGTACACCTATTGCGCACGTGTAAACATATGTATCTCCCTCTCCAATGTGTACATGATGCACGTGAGTTCCTCTTTTCGGCCTATTTGACTTTCGTTTGACTTTTTTTTGCTCTGATATAGATATTAACCATAATTTTACTTGAATTAGGACCCACAAGAGAAATTTCAAGAACCTTGGATCTTCTAACCAGTGGAAAAACTAGCTTAAGAAGGCACACGTCATCCAAGTAAGTAACCACACAGTCTTTAGGCAAGTAACACTTGGAAGGATTGCTAGGATAAGCTAGCGTGCAAGCATTCCTTACCTTAGGTGGTTATAATTGCATGTTAAAGACTTCAGAATGACGTTTTTTTTAATGAGTATGCATTATATATATGTTATGAAAAATTGTCATTATGTCTATTGATATAATCATTATAAGCTAGTCGATCCTTCAAGAGTTGTCCAGAATTACAGCTGGGCCAAAAGTCTATTTGACCTTTCACGTTAAGTACCATTGATTCTCTAATTAAAAATTTGTTTATGATCCAATAAAAACTAAGTCCCTCTGAGGCTAGTGAGAAGGTGACTCTATTGCTCAAGTTCGAAATCAGCATTTAAGGAAACTACTCATCTATTAACGTATACGAGATGGATTGAGTTCCATCGTGTGAAATTATGTTCCTAGCTTCCCATGTTGTCAATTTCCCAAAATAGTAGACATATTGAATTTGTTACAAAAGTCTTCTCAATCATACAAATCAAATGACAAGCCTTAGAGTAGGGGTTCATAACTCACTCAAGATTAAGTTCGAGTCACACATAATCATTTGTAAAATATTAATCTTCTTAGTTAATGGATTTATAAAGAGAGATTAAATATTTCGTGATCCAGTCTTATACAAACTCATTGTATATGATACCTCACTTACATGTATCCACATGAATGATTTGAATCAAGTAATTGTAACAATTACGAAGTGGGTCGTATTAATAGTGTTACCCGAATATACCATATACCATAGACCCTTTATGTTATTACTTGAACATGATTCTATTGTATGTCAACCACATATTGTTCAATACTACAATAATAACCTTAGATTTTTCATATAATGAATAATTTTACGAGCCTTTTAAGTTAGAAATCTCAACAAGCCATGCATAAGGTATGACATAAATTTCAAGTAAATCTAGGATTATTACTAAACCATGTACTAAAAGCATACCGTAGGACCATGCAAGACCACTCCTACCCCTCCACACCTTAAATTTACTACACTCAAGTTTTCAAGGTACCATGCTACTACTATACCTTAAATGACCATAACCTCTCATAATATGTTGTGTTATGAGGCCTCTAATTCCTGTTCTAGGTGGGATGATCTGCACTATGTCTCATGGGCAGGTTGTCATGATAGGTCTCATGTTTTCCTCACCTAGTTGAGATGTCATACGTCATGTATTACTAGCTCGATGCCATGATCATGTTTTGCACCAATCATGTAACCATGTAGATCTGTCATGCAAAATGATCCTAAGACCATTTTAGGAGTGCCTTCTAGGTCGATTACATGTCATGAACCAAGCTAAGCTATATGTATTAGATACTCAAGAAGTTATAGCACTCTAGCTTAAGTTCACAATTAAGATCTTAAAAGTCAGCTACTTACCGAGTCTTTGTACTCACTCCATGTGTTTCCATGCTTTTCAAGTAATTAGGGACAAGAGTAGACGGTGGAGTGAGAGCCATAAATCAACCATAATACCTCCATTTTTTTTCTTTTAAATGTTTTTGAGTTTGGT